CCCCATATCCCACTTTATGATAATGTCTTGCCAGCACCTGAAACTCAACGTGTCCTGCATAAACTTACCCCTTTCCTCCCCACACCAGGCCTTTCTCCTGACTTCTCTGTTTTTTCAATAGTATTATTTTCCAGTCACCAAGCACAAAGGCTCAGAGACATTCCAGTTGCTTCCTCTTCCTTAGTCCTAACACATTACCAAGTTCTGTCTATTCCTCTACCTTTTGGATAAATGCTTTCCATGTCCATCTATTTCTTTCTCTTGCCTGCTGCTGTGTACTTAGTTCAGATACTCATTTCAAGCCTTCACTATTGCACTTTCTCAGTGACGAGCTGTTTCTTCCTTTTTCCTCTCCATCCAAGTCATTCTGCCTAATTAGTCTGAGGGTCATGTCAGAGAGTCCTATAGGTACATAGACCAGCTTCTATCTTTCTGAAGTACTTCTTTCAAAATCATTGTTCTACCATCACACTCCACAAATATGATACAGTTTCAACTCCTTGGTTTGGCACCCAAAACCATACATGATCTGGCCTCATCTTGTCCTCTCTGAGGATGTATCCTCAAGGCCTTTCTAAACCACCACCTCCCCCTTGGATCTCCTTTCACTCCCTCTGTTCAAGCTTGAAACTTCTTCCCTCCTTCCCAGAAATGCATATTATAGAACATTGGTTTTGAAGTCAGACACCTCCAGTTCAAAACCCTGGTCTGCCAGCTATAAGCTGTACAACCTTGGGATGGCTGCATAACAGCTTTATGTCTCAATTTTCTCATCAACAAAATATGGGGGGGAAAACCTACCTTGTTATAGAGTTATAAGGATTGAGTGAAATAATGATGAATCTCACTATCAAATCTGTATGCCAAGCAGCTGAAATTCTAAGCAATTTTCCTAGTAGTTACAGTCTCTAATGGGGCTGATATAACTGTTAGTGCCCCTTAAATATCCATAGCTTCAGGCTACCAGTGAGGCAGGAACCCCATAGCCATGTGCTTTCCTGATTGTGTGATGTTTCTAGTCTTTCATGCTCAAATAGCACTTCTCAAGAGAGGCCTTCCCTAATCTTCATCTAAAATCTCCATATACCTTTGTTAGGCAGAAAGACATGAGAGGGGTGGCGAGAGAATAAAGCCAGTAAAACCCACTAAAAGGGACTCAAAGAGTTAACCAGATAAAACCAAAGATCCAGAAAGGACTCTCAGAGTTAATTAGTTGAAGTTTCAAGGGCCAGGAGTAACTTGGAATATCCAGACACTCACCAGATGAAAAATAACTTCCCAGATGAGAAGCTTCCAAGCACAGACACTCCCCAGACAGAAACATCAGAGCACAAGCCATGTATCCATTTCACCAGTTAGTCCAGGCCTCCAAGGCCAAAGATTGTCAATCAAGGACTTCTCTGCCCTGCCAAAACCGCATAAAAGAAGCCCCATGGTAAGCAGCCTGTCTGTCTAACGTCAGGCAGGCCCACTCTGATACTCTGTACAGAGTGAGATAAAACTGATTTTGCTTTCTTAACTTTGGTTTCACATCTCACTCTGACTTCCCTGAGACTCTGAACCGAACTCCTTCCCAACACCCTCACTTAATGTCTATACTTTTAATACTCTTATCTTCTTTGTTTTCATCACAGCACTTTTCACTATGTGAAATAACCTGTCTTTTTTGCTCACTTTCTTGTCTGCCTTCACCCTAAAGTTGAAGCCAGTGAAAGCAGGGTCTTTCTGGGTCATTCTTCATTCCATCTCACCACTATGAACAACATATAATGGAGTAAAATAAATATATAAGCAAGTGAATACTCTTTGAAGTATCTCTATCCTTCAGAGCCAGCTCAGATGGAGACTTGTGAATAAACCAGTCCTCATTTGAAGTCCTTTAACAATCCTCATCTAAATTCAGTTGAATCCTATAGCCATTGTCTAGGCCATGCTCTGCTTGTGACATTTGTGTATTTGTATGCATTCTAAGTATTTGTACGTGACATTATTTTTTGCATGTGACATTAGCATTCATATCTTTCATTAAAATTTCTCATATTTCCTGAATTAGACTATAAACTCCTTCAGGTCAAGAAATACTTTTGTGCATCTCCTAGAACTGTATGAAGGCAAATTCTGGTGCTCTAAGATCCCCCCCACCCCTTAAGATCCAATCACCACTGACAAGATGGTCGCCCACCCCTTAAAATTCAATCACTAATGACCAGATGGTCGCCCAACCTTTAAGATCCAATCACCAACGCAGAACACACCCTTCCCCTACTCCTTAAAAGGTGTGCTTCCTCACCCACGAGCTGCTGCTCCCTCTCTCTGGGAGCAGTCATTTTCTCTTTCAGATAATAAAATCTCTTGCGTGGGCCCACATCTCCTGAGTCATTCTGGGGTAAGGAGGGTTGCGGTGAGATACCCTTTGACTGTATAGCACAATACTTTACATGGGATGCATTCATTCATTCACTGTCCTCTCATATGTACCTCGCACAGGTTTAGATGCTAGTAGGCAATGATGAGTACAGTGCTGTCCCCAAGTTATTAATTGGGTGACATTATTCAATTATCTCAGTGTGTAGATTAAGAATAGATAGCTCTTAGCTCTCTTGGAAGGTATTAGAAGGGCCAGTCTGATCAGAGGTTGTCACTTGTTGGCTGGATAACCTCAGGTGGGGCACAAACTCTCAGAGCCACTCCTGATCTGTTAAGTAGAGATAATAATATTTATCTTGCAAAAGTGTGGAAGAGATATGTGGAAACACTTTATAAACTGCTAAAATGTATATAAGTGCCAGTTATTATTACCACTATAATAACATAATTTAAGCTGAAATTGGAGCCATCATGAATAAAACACATTCAACATTGTAATTGTCTTAGTAACAAAACTGTCTTGTTATCCAAAGATAATAAGAAATCTGATCCTGCAGGTCACAGAGAGACAACCACTGAGTAGGACTTCATGTTGTCCAATTACCCTCAGTCCCAGTATTCCTGGGGTGTGACTGCTGCCACCTCACAGGGAATTATTGTTTGTGCCATGCATAAAGCTTTACCTGCTGTTGGAAATCAGAAAATATTGCAGGGCCATGATCAGAGAGTTCTAGGCCATCCACAGTAGCTTTCTAGGTTTCTCCAATAAAACTCTTAGAATGCCCAAATCTCTGTCATCAAAGTCCCTCTGAAATGGTCCACTGGGAATCAGGGGTATTCCAGATGGTGATAAGCCTGGTGGTACTGCCATCCATGGTGAGACATTTGTTCAGTATCAATGGACCTCACACACAAGGGTGTGTACTTCCATTTGGATTCACATGTCCCTCTGTGAGTCCCTGCCTTTCTTCCCAAAAGTCAGGCCTCAGCCTCCTGCTTAAGTGTTATCCTCCCTCAGTTGGGGTTTGCAATCTAGCTGTTCTAAATCAGGCAGTTCTCTCTTTCCACCTCACCCTCCACCACGGTCTGAGGCTTGTTGCTTTCAGACACATCACTGGCGTGGAAGAGGCAAGCCCATGAACAATATCATCTGTTTGTAAACAGCTACCACAAATACCTCCCACTAGGAGTCATAGAATCTCAGAGATGGAAGTAAGGTTCCCTCCCATCCAGAACAGGGCTGCCCTTTGGAGGCTTCCTGACATGGGTCATTTGGCCTCATCTTTAAACATCTTAGATGAATCAGTGGAGCATCTGACCTCACCCCTCAGACCTTTTGCTGAATAGATGCCATGACAGAGCTTGCCAGTCACTGCTTCACTGATGGAATCGCAGCCAATAGGCCACCCTTCAATTTTCTAAGAGCCTGGGTGTGTCAACAGAGGCCTGAGTGTCCCTTGCCCTGGGTGGTGGTGATTTCTAAGGCAGTGGAATATGATACTGAGTCTGAGAACATGGACTTTGGAGTCAGACAGACCCGGGTTCAAATCTCATCTCCCTCACTCACCGTCTGAGGGCCTTAAGACATTCACTGACTGTGCAACTTTGGCCAAGCTACTGAAACTCTCTGAACACTGCTTTCCTCACATTTAAAAAATGGGGAAAGTAAAATCTACATTTTGAGATTATTGTGAGGATTAAGTGAGATTATACATGTAAAGTGCCTGTACCTGGAACAAAGTAAATGCCTGATGAGTGGTAGAGATCTTTATTATCACCATTGTTATTGCCTCCTCTGTTTACAACCAATAGATAGTTCTGCATAAGAAGTTGTTTTCCCTGTTTCCTCTTTCCTGAAATGAGTGGGTAAGATCTATGCCCATAGGCCTGGGTTACAGACCTACTCAGGATGACCCCATCACCACTATCACAACCACCTCTAGAAAATGACATTTCCACCTTTCTGAGCATGGGATGCCTCACCTCACAGAGATTCTTAAGCCCTGGGCCCCTTTTTGGGCCTCAGCTGCATGGATGAGACCTGGAGAGGGAGCTTCCTCCATCTCCTGGAAAGTTTAGCTTGTAAAAGCTTCCTCATCCAGTAAGCAGTGGGCTGGTGACCCTCTGCAGCAAAAGAAAGACTCAGCTTGCCTGATTGGAAAGCCCCCAGGAGTTAAAGAACCAAACCTTTGCCACACCGCCACCTAGGCCCTGGGGGGTAGGAGAAGCCGCCGCAAGGCTCTGCAGGCTTTGGGGCGGACCAAGCAGAGCAGTTAGGAGCATAAACCTTGGAGTGAGGCATCCAGTGTCCATCATGCACTGGCCAGCTGAGTTTGTACAAGCTACTTATCCTTAGTCTGTTCTGCAAAACATGATAATAGCACCTGTCTCACTGAGTCATTTTAAGGTTTAAAGGAGATGGTACTTGTCAGACCAAGTCCTTAAAACACTGCTTGGCTCCAAGTGTGATTTCTGCTTTCATAATTAAGTACCAAAAAGCCACTCTTGCTCAGGAATGATTTTTAGTTCTCTGACTTTTACAACACGCCAAGCCAGGGCTGAGCGAGAGGTAGTAGACAGGGTAACAGAATATGGTAATAAATACACAAATGAAAGAACAAATAGGAAAGGAGTGCTCTTAAGAGGTAGAAGTTTTATTGCGATGTCTTCAAAGGACAACCAAATCAGTAGGAATTTATTGAGCACCTCTTGTGTGCACACAGTAGCGCCCAGTGTTCCACCAATGGCTCTCAGGTTCCCAGGGAAGAAAACCAGCTTCGTGGGGCTGAGAATAGGGTGGGTTTCCAAGCATCCAGTGCAGCTGGCTTTCTGGTGGGCAAACCCAGGGCCAGGCTCGCGTGAGAGCACAGGAATAGGAGACGGGGCACGTGGAGTAGAGCAGCAGGCGCGGGGTCGCCTCAGCAGCCGCCGCAGCAGCCGGACCTCTGCGTGTTGCCGGAGCGCTGCGACCTTTGGCTGTCGCCCCCGCAGCAGCAGCTGCCGCGCCTGCGAGCCCCATGGCGCCGCCGCGGGAAGCAGCAGCCAGCGGAGGTGGAGCCGCAGCAGCCCGAGGGGACGCAGCAGCCGCAGCAGGAGGACGAGGAGGAGGTCGCCTGGGCAGGACACGGAGTGGTGCCCGGGGAGGACCCCTTGGAAAAGCCTTTGGCGGGCACCGCACCCTGCTGGGAGGACATGGCAGAGCTCAGCTTGTCACGGTGAACCTGAAATAAAAGCAACTTTTCTTTCACAGGTAGCAGACTGTTTCTTTCCCACAATGGAACTTGGTGCCTTTGAGATTTGGTTTGGTGAGCAACCGAGCCTGGCCCAGTGCGGGGAAGAAATGAGGAGAAACAAAGAAACACCCCCCAAACAGGCATTCCCAGTGAGCTGAGCATGCAAAGAGCCAGAAACAGCCTATGCAGAGAATCAGTGGTTTTCCATTTTCTCTGACTAGAACAAGGACCACCCACATTCTCCACAGTGGAAACAAAAGAAGGTACTGCGGTGACTTATCCGTATGACCCAGTCCAAAATTTTCTCTTGACTCCTTTCCCTCCCCCATTTCACTGTGGCCACAGACCTTTAAGTGATGTTCACATAGTTATCAGATTGTATAAACACCAGCAGCTAGAAAACACCCAAATCACCCGTGTCCCTGCTGCCTGGGCCTGAAGAGTCCACAAACACCAAAAACAGGCTCTGTCATCATTTCTGCCTATGCTTCTCATTCCTCACAACCAAAAGGAAAAGGAGAATATCGTACAGGATAGGATTCTTTTCCCATTCCAGGAAGCTAAAGACCTGGGTCTCTGCTACAGACTTGCAGAGGCCACACCTCTCCTCACTGGCTTCCACGCCCCTTGGTACCATGAGAGACTGTTTCACTTGAGGCTTAAGGTACTTTCCAGGGCTCCCCTTCTGCATCTACCTGCTGGCTATGTTCTGCCTTCTTCTCCCCTCTGCCTTCAGCTCTTCCCAACCTTCTCCCCCAGGCCCTGCTTGGAGACTTACCAGGCCCTGCTCCACTGGAAGACTTACTCAGTTCTCCAACTGGAATGGACCACCTGTTGGGCAATGGACTGAGCCCTGTCCAGCCAGAGAGCCTTTTATAAGATTCCAGTTTGACTCTGACTCTTGGGAGGGGCTTGTTTCCCAATAGACACACTCAGTTGACACTCACACCCCAGAGACACGCATCACTCAGGTAACACTGTAGGTGGTGCATGTGGACATTCAAGTCACTGCACAGAGGTGCCAGGATTGCTTCAGCATGTTTGCTTTCCAAACAGGACACTGTTCATAAGTGGGAGGGCTGTGTGTGTGCTAAGAGAAGGCCTGGGGGCACAAGTGCAGAGAGGTCTGGGACCCCTCCTTAGGACCTGTTCTCTTTGCTCTTTTCTACCTTGTACATGTGCACATACACAAACACGAGTCCCCCTGTTCACATACCCATTCCTGTGTAGTCTTCGGTGGTTCACTTACTCATAACTGTCTGGCTCATGGTCCCTGCCTCCTCAAGTCAGGCCACAGGCTATATGAAAGGCATGCTGGTTTTCATCCAGCTGCTTCCAGATGAGATTTAGTGAAGATGATGGCCAGGATGCACTTATGGAAATACCAGTATCAGATTCTGTCTGTGAATGTACTCAGGTTAAAATATCCTCATACAGCCCTGATGGGCCTAAGAGAAAAATGTGTGCAGGATGCTGGTCCAACTGCAAAATGCTAAGCCAGCTTGCAGGACTCTCTGCTCCTTACCCACAAACTCCCTTTGAAGATAGGTTCTCCCTGGAGCCACTACCCAACAGAAAGAGGAAGGAAGGAATGAACAAACAAATGAATGGGGGAAGAAGAGGGAGGAGCAGTCCTTTCACAACATCCAAAATGTCCACGAAAAATAGTACTTTTAGAATAACTAAGTTTTAGGAATTGGGAGAGAGTTTGGCGATCAACTGGCTTCAGAACTGCTTCTTCATCAGTGCAACTATAGATAAATCAACTAAAAGTGCAGCTAAATCAAAAAAAAGTGCAACTAAAAGATAAATCAAGACTAAGAATTCAAAACTGGTGGTGAGAGGTAGGTTTGGGGGTGAGTGAGAGCTGGGAGTGGCATGAGGGAATATATAAGGAAAAATAAATCATAAAGATATCAGTTTCATTTAACACATCTTTAGAGCCTGAGTAGCAGGTTGCCTGTACCTAGGGACACCTGTTTGGGAGTTGCAGGTGAAACATTCCAATAGGTGAGGTCAATATTAGAAAACAGAGGGAAGTACTGAAGTGACAAAACAAAGACAGGCTCTACTGTGGCAGACGATCTGGGTAAGCACACACTCACAATATGGGCTTGCTGTGGCCTCACTGACTTACTCTCCCTGTTAATTCTTATCAAAAGAAAGTCTGGTTTTTCTTCTGGTATGTGAAAGGTTGATTCAGAATTATCATTCGTATTGCAAATATTCTGAGTATCTCCTGAAGGAACCAGCTGATTCCTGAAGGAAAGGAAAAACAACACAGCGACCAAAGCCCCGTTCTTCCCCACACCCTGCACTCCCCCCCCAGATGTGTGCACTCATGCCAGCCACATGAAGATGGCTTTGGCAGAGTGGGGGGTCCTTCTTGCTTCTCTACTCAGACCCAAACTCAGGTTTTTCGGATCCAGGGAGAAGGAGCTCAGACATTCATGCCTGCCTCTTAAACGCACTTTCCTAGAAACTAGCACCCCCCACCAGCTCTGCTCTGGAAGCACCTGGGAGTATTATAATAACCAGAAAAGTGAAGAGTGTCCATCTAATGGATCCCAGAATGAGCACTTTAGACCATCTTACTCCCAGTAACTATGAGGTAAACTCTTTTAAAAACTGTCACCCATACTTTAAGGAAACCCTCCTAGCATTTTTCATCTCACTGTGACCTTTCTGAGTACCACTGTCTTCTCTGAAAACTCCTTCCTGACTTGCCTGATACACAACTTGTGTCAGGGTAATGGTCTCAGACATGATCCTTTCCTTCAAGCTTACAGTTCCAAATTCAGAGAATAAAAAGAAATGCTGTTTCCCAGAGGTACAAGTAGCTTCAGTGCCAAAACCTGCTTCCCAAACTGCTTTATAGTGTTCACTTGCACTTAAAGGTGGGAAGGGGAAATGACTTGATGAATGGGCTGAGGAGTGGGGGAAGTGAGCAAAACAATCAGAAGGCAGTGATATCATGAGTAAAGAACTTTATAATTACAGGGAAAACAGCCTCCATCACTGAACCCCAACACCAAGTCTTCCAAAGAACTATGTGTGAGAGGGGAATCAGGATGGTGAACATTAGTGGTTAATCCTCTAGGCCTCACAGTGGAAGGAACATGGGCAGAAAGAAGAGGGAAACTCTAAGCACCTCTGAAGCCCTTCCATTCAGTTTTAAGCTGGGCAGGCCCTTTGCACTCTGGCTCCTCCAGTGCTGCTCTTTAGTCTCCTCATAGCCCAGTCAGCAGCAGCTCCCAGAGCAGCAGCTGGAGCCCGCAAAATGCTGGCCACTGCCTCTGCCACAACATGCAGGGCTCCAGTGGTGGCATCGAAGACATTGGTGGGGCCTGTGGTGGTTTAGACAGCAGCCGCCATCCCCCCTGGAGCTGGGGTCACAGCAGGAGACTGGAGATGGGTAGGGGGCTGGGACTTGGGGGTGGGGGGACACATGGGAGGATGCTTGGCTGGCATTTTGGGGAACCCTTGGGAGGAGTCTGGCACTGCTGCTGGCTTTGTGGGCAGGACATCTCAGCAGGAGTTGAATTAAATTGAAAGGCAATACAGATTTTTTTTGATATGACACCAAAAGCACACGCAACAAAAGCAAAAAATCACAAGTGGGGCTTCATCAAATTAAAATGCTTTAGTACAGCAAAAAAAAGATAAAAAAAACAGAGAGACAATTTATGGAATTGGGAAAAGATGCTTGCAAACCATATACTGGATAAGGGGTTAATATACTAATTACATAAAAAACTCACACAACTCAATAGTATAAAAACAAATGATCCAATTTAAAAATGGGCAGAGGAACTGGATAGACATTTTTCTGAAGAAAACATACAAATGGCCAACAGGTATATAAAAAGATGCTCAACATCACTAATCATCAGGTAAATGCAAATCAAAACCACAATGAGATATCACCTCACACCTGTTAGGACTATCAAGAAGACAAGAGAGAATAACTGTTGGAAAAGATGTGGAGAAAAGGAAACTCTTGTGCACTGTTGGTGGGAATGTAAATTGGTGCAGCCACTATGGAAAACAGTATTGAGGGTTCTCAAAAAATAAAAAATAAAACTACCATATGGTCCAGAAGTCCACTTCTGGGTATACAGCCAAAGGCAATGAAAACAGGCTACTGAAAAGATACTTGCACTCCCATGTTTTTCGCAGTATTATTCACAATAGCCAAGATATGGAAACAATTTAAGTGTCCATCAACAGAGGAATGTTGAAAATGTGATATATCATATATATATATATATATATAAGTTATATATACATATGTATATATACACCCACACACACATACATCCATGATGGAATATTATTTAGCCACAAAAAAGAAGGAAATTCTTCCATTTATGGCAACATGGATAAAACTTAAGGACATCATTCTAAGTGAGACGTCTTATAGAGAAAGATGTACATATGATGTAACTTACATGTATAACTATATTTTTTAAAAAGCTCCAAACTCACAAAAACAAAATAGAATGGAGGTTGCCAGGGGCTGAGGGGTGGGAAAATTGGGGAGATATTGTTTAAGGGTACAAAATTGCAACTCAAAGAGTTCTGGAGCTCTAATGCACAGCATAGTGATTATAGTCAAAGGTACAGGCATACCTAATTTTTTTGTACTTTGCTTTATTGCACTTCACAGATACTGAGTTTTTTCACAAATTGAAGTTTTGTGGCAACCCTGCATTGAGTAAGTCTATCAGACCCATTTTTCCAATAGTATTTGCTCATTTCATGTCTGTATCACATTTTGGTAATTCTCCCAATATTTCTTTTTCATTATAATTATATTTATTGTGACAATCTCTAATCAGTAATTATTACCTGCTGAGAGCTCAGATTACTAGCATTTTTTAGCAATAAGGTATTTTTTAATTATATTATGAACATTGTATTTTTAGACATATGCTATTGCATACTTAGTAGACTACAGTATAGTATAAACATAATGTTTATATGTACTAGAAAACCAAAATATTTATTAGAGTCACTTTACTGCAGTGGTCTGGACCCAAACCCTCAACATCTCTGAGGTATTCCTGTACTGTATTTTATACTTCAAAGTTGCTGAGAGACTAGATCTTAAATGTTCTCACTACAAAAAAAAAAAGATAATTATGTGACGTGATAGAGATATTAACTAATGCTACAATGGTAACTATTGATTTGATATACATGTATTAAATCATATTTTATACCTTAAATCTATACAATGTTATAAAGTCAATCATATCTCAATTTAAAAAATGCACATAAGCAGACTGTAAATACTCCTCTTCTGAAAAGATGAAAAGATAGAGCAATATGGCCTTAAAATGGGGCCTCCTTTTTGCCCCAAGTGATTTGAGTGTTGGATGGAAGAGCCCTCTAGCAGTTCTAGTCTTGAGCCACAAAGCAATCTTCTGCCTGCCTGGGCACCACAACCTCCAAGAAATGAATACCAGAGACGTGGGTGAAGGCAGGGACACCAGAAACTGACCCATGGAGCCTTGTGCATAGTACTTCCTGGAAGAGCCTCACCTACAGACCCTGATCCAGCCTAGTTCTGCCTGTGGGATCCCTGATGGGTGGGACCTTCACACCTCTGTGGCTCCTGTCCAGCTGCAGTATTATCTCCTCAATGGGGAGCATTTCTGTAGCTAGAGTCTGGAAACAGGATGTCCTGGAAGCCTTCAAAGTGAGTAGTTATCAGAGAAAGGAGCGTTCCTTTTCTTGCGCAGTAAATAAATTTCCAGGTTGGGACTCGGAAAGAGTAAAAATAGCCAAGGAGGCCCCTGGAAGCCCATGCACTGAAGCACCTTGTTTTCCCAACTGGAAAGGATAGAAGCTGACTAGGCAGTGGGGAGCAGCAGGCATCTGT